CGACATTTACAAAGTTTTAGATTTGAATCATTATTTTTTATACATAATGATTTTACTTATATGTAATACTTTAATATATTGTTTGAAAAATTTATTTGATTAAATATATAAATAAATAAAATATTTGTATATTATACTATATTTATTTAATTTTATGTTTGTGTAAAATGATATTAATTTTATTTATATTAATTTATCTTGAAATTTTTGTTTAATATTATTTTTATTTTTAATCATTTTAAAAAATTATAATATTTCTTAAAATTGTGACAGAAATATTTTATTCTATAAAAAATATACAAATATTATTTATAATGAAAGATAAATGTTGCAAATGAATTAAATATTTTTTTGATATTTAAAACATAATAATATATTAACATAACACGTATAATAATATATTAACATGGATATAATTAATTCAAAAGTAAATGTATCATTAAAAACTAAAAATTAATTAATAAATAAATATTTATGTTCAAAATTTTTTTTTAATCAATTGTTGATTATTAAATTTCATGACTATTCAAATTGTTGAATATAAAATCATGTGGTCAACGGAAATTGTTAATATCGACATCTTCCGTCCGCGTGGCATTTATTTGATCTTACTTTTGCTGATATTTGCAAAAATGCATAATTTACGGTATGCACCGCCATTAAAATTGTGAATGCCGTTATCTACACTGACAAGAAACAGTTACCTAAAACTAGCAATTCTTTTTTCTCAGTACAATTAGTGTAGTAGTGAAGGAACATTAAAAAAAATCTTATGTTTTTAAAGTTATTCAAAAATATCATATTTTCAAAATATTAGTAGCCGATTACTTAAATAATGGGATATTTAAAATCTATCGGTACCGTAATAATTTATATCGGTTTTTTTTTAACTGTCATTACGTTTCTACCGGGTATACCTCCAGAAGTAGAAGTTTCCGAATATAGGTATGATATTTATTTTATAACAATATAATAACTTTCAAATATATTATACATATGCATAATATGTTATGCATAAATAATTATGATTGTATAATAAATTTTTAAGCATAAAATACCCAAATACACAAACTGAATTTAAAAGTCGATTAGAAAAAATACAAATATTGTTTTCTGGGGAAGTCAGTGGTCCGGAAGATTTTGCTTCATTTAATGGAAAAATATATACTGGTATACATGGAGGTTATATTGTGCAAATTGAAGAAAATCTTATTAAACCACTTGTAAAATTTGGTCAAAAGTGTGGTATGTAATAGTAATTGTAATACTAATTGTTCGAAAATATTTAGATTTTAATTTTTTAATTTTTTTTAATATATATTATTATTTTTTATTTTTTGTACAATATATTCAAGTCAAATAAGTTTAATTATAAATAAATATCAAAACTAAAACTTTTATTAAATTTTTTTTAATGAAATGCTAAATATAAATATTTATAGATGGTTCATGGCAAGAAGAAAAGTGTGGTAGACCTCTTGGTTTAAAATTTAATGATAAGGGAGAATTATTTGTAAATGATGCTTACTATGGTATTTTTAAAGTAAACATTAATACACGAGAATATATAAATATAGTCAATAGTTCTGAACCTATTGATGGAAAAATTCCAAAAATAGTCAATTCATTGGATATAGCAAAGAATGGTGATATATATTGGACAGATTCAAGTACAGACTTTTATCTTTGTGATGGAATGTATTCACTTTTAGCTAATCCATCAGGAAGGTAAGTTTTAAATTTAATTAACTTATATTTATTTTTACAATATATATAATTTTCTTTTATAGACTTATTCGATATAATGCAGCAACAAAAAAAAATGAAGTACTATTGAAGAATTTAGGATTTGCAAATGGCATTGCATTAAGTGATGATGAAAGTTTTGTAATTGTATCAGAATCTATTAATTCGCGTATTATTAAATATAATTTAAAAGGTTCAAAAGCTGGACAACAAGAAATTTTTGCAGAAGGTTTACCTGGTGTACCTGATAATATAAATAGTGATAATCAAGGAGGTTTTTTAGTATCTTTGATAATCTTAATAGATTCTAATAATCCTTATTTAATTCAATCTCTTATACCTCATCCATATATACGAAAAATGTTATTGAGATTATTTTATTTAATAGAAGCTCCATTTAAATTATTGCAAGATATTTATCCAAATTATTATTCTGAAAGAGTTTTACATGCATTAGGTTCGTTCAATGTAGCAAAATGTATACAACCAAACAGAACTTCACTAATACTTAGAATGGATAAAACTGGAAAAATTTTGGATACATTATTCATGAAGAATGTCACTGATATATCTTCTGCTTATATATATAATGGTTATTTATGGCTTGGTTCTCCTTGGAATGAGTATATTATAAGGGTTTCATTAAAACAAGTATTTCCAGATTTAGCAAATAATATAAAATCTTTAGATACAAAAGAAGAGAAACAAGAAAAACCATTTTTAACAGTTTCGGCTACACCAAATGTTAAAATAGAAGCAAAATCTACAAAAGTAACTGCTAAGCAAGAAGAAGTTATAAAATCATCTCTGAAATCAACTATTAAAGCACAAACAACACAAAAATCAAATTCAGATGCAACAATATCAAAATCAACTACACCAAAATCTATAAATCAACAATCTAGCAGTATCTCTTCAAAAACATCATCATCATCTTCGAAAACATCAAAAGAAGTTATGAAAGATAATTTAAAAATTGAAAAAGATGATTTAAAGGAAATTAAAAAAGATAATTTTAACTCACAAATTAAATCTGAAACATCAAAAAAAGTTTCAAATGAAATTAAAAAAGATAACTCCAAATCACAGATTAAACATGAAATATCAAACAAAGATAATGAAGCAAAAATGAAATCAAATCAGCCTGTTAAAAAAGATATTCATGAGACTCAGTTTGGAAAATCTAAACTTGTAAAAAAAGATGATAATTCCAATAAGAAGTAAATCAAATCAATGTGTATAATTTGAGATATCTAAGTTCAAAACTGTATTGTATTAATTCTTCCATGTTAAAAGTTCTACATTTCAAACATATCGACTTATTTGTTATATTTTATAAGATTTATAATGTATAAGGTTATGTTAATGTTATAGAATTTATTTCTTATTTATATTTTTCCAATGTTAAAAGAAATGATATTATTTTATTGTATATTAATTTTAATATAACTGAAAAATGTGTTAAAGACACAGTGATTTAGGTTTGTATATAAAATTGAGAATATCATGTTGTTTTTATAAATTATTCCATATTATAACATATGTATTAATGTAATATTTAATATACACATATATTTATATATTATATATATATATGTGTATATATATATATGCATTTTGTAAATTCCAATTTTATTTAGTTATATAATGAAAATGAGAGTCAAATGAAAAAAAAGAAAAAATCCATTTTAAATATCCATTATAAATATTTATTGATTTGATATAAATTAACATTTCAAAAAAAAAATTGCATAATATAATAAGATTATTAAATTATTTTATAAATGAAATAATTTATATTAGATTACATATTTGTTTATAATATTTAAATTTGTTATTAAATTTGTTTCCTATAATTATAAAAATAATATAAATCTTCTAAATTAAATTTATAATTTTTATTTTTCTATGTAATTTAGCATATTTTTCTATTTAGAATATGCTGTGTGATATATAAATATATACTTTATAGTTTGTCTTTAGTGAAATATATATTTATGTAAATTAATTTTGAACATAATGGTGGAAAAGAAATCTTTTAAAGGGATAAAGGGATGTATAATTAATATAAAAATAAATTTTCTTTTTTAAATATGTCTTTTACTCATTTAATTTATAAGAACAAATAAAATGCGAAATCTTTAAGTACATATTTATGATTGCTATATGTACAACTTTGAATATATTTATTATATTAAAAAAATATATTTTATTCAAATTAAAATTTATAACTAAAAATAAAAATTGTATTTAAATATTTTTATATAAATATTAAATTGTTATACTACAAACATAGGCAATATTGATTTCAACTTATTACTTAAATTTTGTTGGATTCTCCATAAAAATGTAGGATTTTTAACAAAATGCCAGTATCCATTTCTTTTCCGTTGTGCCCATTTTTGTGCATTTAATAAACATTTGTAATAATTTAAGATATCTTTATCTTTTATCAATTTCTTTAAAGAATCTTCCGTTATTATAGCAAAACCAAGTTTTGTTAATTCTTTACCAATTTCTATATATTCCTACATAATTTAAAATTATAAATTCATAAATTAAAGTAATAAACAAAATAAAGTGATTATCTTTTACCTTATTTTGTTGCATAGATACTATGCAAATTACATAATTTTTTTCTGTAGCTAAAGGTATGAAATTTATGTCTTTCCTATTAACAATTGTTTGTAACCAACTGATACCTAAAAAAAAGATTGATTAAAATAACATATTTGCAGATCTTTTAATTAATAATTTAATTTTTGCTTACCATTAACTGTTATATCAAGACCTGCTATTTTAATTGGTAAATATTTTGGATTACTTAATCGAGGCAAAGGTATTAATGGCTTGTGATCAACCATTAGAAGTGTACCATAATTGGGTTCTATACGTGTCACAGTACCTTGAAGTTGAACTTTTTTGTGTAAAAAACGAGATGGTATACTG